GGTTGTTTGTCCCGGGGCATCTTCCTTCAAAAGTTATGCACAGCCCGTGAACGTATTGCTACAAGAAACTAGAGTGCCTCCTTTTTAAGGACAGCTTTTGCCATTAGGCGGGTGCAAATCCATGACACTGACCTACCTTACAGAGCTGTTGTCGAAACAGCATGAAAATGCTTCTGCAGTGCACAGAAGCACTTATAAAGTGTTTAGAATTATTAAGAATGTAAGGACATAAGAGCAGCAGTGTTGGATCAGGCCAATGGCCCATACAGTCCAACTCTCTGTGTCACACAGTGGCCAAAACCCAGGGGCCATCAGGAGGTCCACCAGCGGGGCCAGAACCCCAGAAGCCATCCCACTGTTGCCCCCCCCCCAAGCACGAAGGATACAGAGCATCACTGCCCCAGACAGAGTGTTCCTATCTATACCTTGTGGCTAACAGCCACGGATGGACCTCTGCTCCATATGTTTATCCAATTCCCTCTTGAAGCCATCCATGGCATTCACTGCCACAGGAGGTGGTGGCGGCTACAAGCACGGACAGCTTCAAGAGGGAATTAGATAAGCATATGGAACAGAGGTCTATGAGTGGCTATTAGCCACTGCATATGGAGCAGAGTGGCTATTAGCCACAAGGTATAGACAGGAACTCTTGGTCTGGGGCAAGTGATGCTCTGTATTCTTGGTGCTTGGGGGGGCAACAGTGGGAGGGCCTCTAGTGTCCTGGCCCCACTGCTGGACCTCCTGATGGCACCGGGTATTTTTGGCCACTGTGTGACAGCGTGTTGGACTAGATGGGCCATTGGCCTGACCCAACATTGGCTTCTCTTACGTTCTTATGCTTGTAGCCGCCACCAACCTCCTGTGGCAGTGAATTCCACATGTTAATTGCTCTTTGGGTGAAGAAGAAGTTCCTTTGATCTATTCTAAGCCCACTGCTCATTAATTTCATTGAGTGTCCACCGGTTCTTGCACTGCAAGAAAGTAAGAAAAATACTTTTCTCTGCTTTCTCCATCCCTTGCCGAATTCTGCCAGCTTCTTGCATGTCACCCCTCAGTCGTCGTTTCTCCAAGCTCAAGAGCCCTCACCTCTTTCACCTGTCTTCATAGGTCTTCCATCCCCTTACTCATTTCAGTTGCCCCTTTCTGCATCTTTTCCAATGCTAGAATTAAAATATCTTTTTTGGGCTGCGGTGACCAGCATGGTACACAACCTTCCAAATGAGGTCGCGCCATCCATTTATCCAGGGCCATTCTGATAACGGGCTAGCTGGTTTCCAGTCCCCTTCTGAATAACCCCCCAGCCAGTGTTCCCTCTAAGCTGAGTGAGTGTGAGGTGAGCTAGCTCACCGGTTTTTGAGCCTCCGGCTCACACATTTTTGCCTTAGCTCAGGAAGGATGGCTCCAGAGCACACTAATTCATGCAGGAGCCAAATGGCTCACTCACAACTTTAGTGGCAGGAGCTCACAAAGTAGAATTTTTGCTCACAAGGCTCCCCAGCTTAGAGGGAGCATTGCCCCCAGCATATATCACCGTGGCCTCAGCTGCGCATCAGCTTCCCCCGACGTTGGATCAGTAGGCAAGGGGTGGAGATGACCCTCTGTTTGGCCGGAGGGGAACTTTTCTGCACCATGACGCAGGAACAGGGAGCTGAAGTTCCCTCCTCCTCCCCCCCTTTTTTTCTTTGCCTTTCCAAGCGGCTCCTGCCTCTGGGAAGGGGCCGGGCGGGGACTCGTACCTGGATAGGCTGTCAGGTGGTCAGAGGAGCCGGCGAGGGGCGGGGAAGGTCGCGCCGGGGCGCCGCTCTGCCATTGGCTTCCTCTGCTGCGCCAGCTGCTTGGAGAGGCGTGGTGCAGAGGGGCCGGGGTGTCCCCGCCGGCGAGCCGTAACTGTCAGGCGTGCAGCAGCCGGCCTGCTCCAGCGCAGAGTCCACCATCTGGGGGGAAAGATGGCCTCTCCCGCTTCCTCCTCCTCCAGGCCGCTGGCCCGCTTCTGGGAGTGGGGCAGGACCATCGTCTGCGTGGGGCGCAATTACGCGGCGCACGCCCGGGAGATGCGGACGGCGCTCCCTTCCCGGCCCGTCTTCTTCCTCAAGCCGGCCTCCGCCTACCTCCGCGAGGGCGCGCCCATCCTCCGGCCCCCCTACTGCCGGGAGCTGCACCACGAGGTCGAGCTGGGGGTGGTGGTGGGGCGGAGGGCGCAGGGGGTCTCCGAGGAGGCGGCCCTGGCGCACGTGGCCGGCTACGCCCTCTGCCTGGACATGACGGCCCGCGACACCCAGGAGGAGTGCAAGCGGCAGGGCCTCCCCTGGACGCCGGCCAAGGGCTTCCGCACCTCCTGCCCGGTCAGCGACTTCGTCCCCAAGGAGAGGATCCCGGACCCCCACCGCCTCAAGCTCTGGCTGAAGGTCAACGGGGAGCTGCGGCAGGAAGGGGACACCTCCGACATGATCTTCTCCGTCCCCTACATCATCAGCTACATCAGCAGCATCATCACGCTGGAGGAAGGGGACCTCGTGCTGACCGGGACCCCCAAGGGGGTTTCTGCCGTGCAGGGGGGCGATGAGATCGAAGCCGGCATCCAGGGGGTGCTGAGCATGCGGTTTAAGGTGGAAGAGCTGGAGTGAGCCCCCTTTTCTGGGGAGAGGGCTTTCCGACTTCAGATCATGGGACACTGGCAGTCCTCTCTGCGGGACTCAAGAGGCGGAAGTCCTCTGTAGCTCACAAGGACAGGGCCTTACCTCTTCCCACCCAGATGGGGAGACTTTCTTTGGCTCACAAAAGAGGAGAGAATGGTGGAGAGGCCGCTCACCTGCCCCTGTTTGAATGAGCAAAGTTGAAAAGTTTCTCTGTGGGAAATTTCAAACCTCCCTGTGGCCTTTCTTGAAAACACACAGCCAAACAGTGAAGGAAATATTTTTTTTTCTGTGGTGTCACAATGCACCGGGTGCCTTAGACAGAGAGTGTGAAAATTACATTAAAATGATTCTACTTATGTAAAATTTAAGTAGCTATAATGAGTATATGCTCCATTTTTTGTTTTCTCAGTTATGTGTTAGTTTCTCTTTGTCTGTTCTATTGTCTGTTTATCTTTCTATGCTGAAAACTAATAAAATCTTTTTTAAAAAAGAAAGATTACATGAAAATGTACATAAAGAAAAAGAATCTGATGTCGGGAAACGGTTGCCCTGGAATTAAATAGGATGGTGTTAATGAAAACTTCTATTTTTTCCATTCATAATAAAGCATAGACCTTTTATTGTGTTCTTTGCTTATTGGCTTGGAAACAAACAAACAAAAATAACCACTAGCCGTTTTTATAGCAGACGAAGCACTTCACCTGCTCTGGCAGAGTAACCCTTACAATACAGTTGCAAACTAGAACAGTATTGTCATGAACTACAAATCTCCATACTCCACAAAACAGAAAGTTTCATATATCTTATAGAAGACATTTAAAAAAAAACCAGCATTGTTACAGAGGGAAATAACTAATATCTATTTGTGTACATTTTTCTGAAATGCACTATTAATGAAAAGCTACTTATTTAAAGGGCTTAAAGTTAATAGAAAGAAGAACACCTTGCTGTGACGGAAAGACATGAAGACAAAACAGTTTCTTAAACATATTATACCAGACACCGTATAAATGTTGAGGGGTCAAAGCAAACTTTTAAGCATTTCAATATTTTTCAGCCCACTGCAATGGCAGCCAACACCCCCCCCCTTGACGATTTAATTTGAACATTCTATGAACCTGTTAAAGTCCTTCTAGCTGTTTGGCAGACATGCGGGGTGTTTCTTTCCCTTTCCCGGTCAAACTTAGGCTCGACTCTATAGGATCGGCTAGTTTGCAAGACAGCAGACTTGTCCTCAGTCCACTCCTTGAACTGTGCGAAAGAGTAACCTAAGGAAGGGCGTTTCAAATAGTTAACAAAAAGAGTACAAAAATTAAAAGATAGCTGTCAGAATCCTACATTTAAAACAACCCCTAAAGTCTTATTTTAACAAAATGGGCTTTTACAATGCCGGGGCAGACATTCTATCAGCCAACCGTTCAGGTCCTATGTCTAGCATAACGTGATAAAAAACTTGCAGTGTTGGGGAAGCCGCTTCTGTGAATGGCTTTTGATGGGGACTTGGAAGTTCTCAATTTGTGGGGGTCATTCTCCCACAAAAGCTTTTTCAGACTACTGTAATGCTCTCTACATGGGGCTGCCCTTGGGGCAACTTCGGAAGCTGCAGCTGGTGCAAAACGCAGCAGCCAGGTTGTTGATGGGCCTCCCCAGGTGGGAGCACATCCAGCCTGTGCTGAAGTCATTGCACTGGCTTCCAATAGCGTTCCGGATTCACTTCAAGGTGCTGTTTTTGACCTTTAAAGCCCTAAATGATCAGGGGCCTGCCTACCTGAGGGACCGCCTTTCCCCGTACATTCCCCCAAGAGCACTGCAGTCTGGAACACAACACCGCCTGGCTCCCCTTGGGCCTAGGGACGCCAGGTTGGTGGTAACCAGGACCAGGGCATTCTCCCTGGTGGCACCAATGCTGTGGAACGAGCTCCCCAATGAGATTAGAGCTCTACGGGACCTCCAGCAGTTCCATAGAGCTGTGAAAACTGAGCTGTTTCACCAAGCATTCAAATAAGAACTGACTGCACCAGTTGGGTCACACTAGCACTTTACCATAGTTTTATTGTATTTATTGTATTTTATATCTTGTATTCACTGTTTTAAATTGTATGCTGTTTTAAACTGTTGTAAGCCGCCCTGAGCCGCCTCAGTGGGAGGGCGGGGTATAAAATAATGGTGCTACCACTGCAAAGGCCTTGCTGTTGTTGGATCTCGTCTCTTGGACAGGAGGGACTCTGAGATTCTCTAGCAGGTCTTAACCGGAAGCGGGAATGTCCTGTAAGGAAAACTGCTCTTTTAGATACGCATCGAGTACTTACTTTGAAATAGATTTTACTTCGTTCCAAAAGAAGTTGCCACTTTAGTGCCGTCTTCTGGGCCTCTGTCAGAGCCAGGAACTCCTGAACCTAAGCGAAGAGACTGCAGGGTAATTGGTCTGAAATGAAACAGACTTCTCTAGAAGATGCATTAATCTACATCCTGCTTTCCTCTCCATTCCGAACTACAAAGTGGCTTTTAACACATAGTTCTAAATTTGATTTGAACCTGGGCTGTCCACAGGGGCCTAGCCTGCCGCTCGGGCTCTACCAATGAGCAGGAACCAACGCTTTCCCCAAACCAAGCGACAGCCACTCTGTCTCTTAGCTTCCCAGAGTAAATCCTCCAATCCTTGGGGTGGGAGGGGAATGAAAAAGAAGAAGAGAGCGACTGAAAAGAAAACATGTTTTGCATTTATCAGTAAGTCAATATCCAAGTGGCAGTTTCGGTAGAAACGAAGTGGCTCCGTCCTAACATATTTACTTAGACATGTCAGGAAAGCAGTAAATGCTTGTGACATCGTAAAGACTTAACACATTCATTTCAAGATGAACATTTGTAGTCAAGTGCTTTGTCAGAAGCAATTGCGGCTCTCTTGGTGCTAAAAGTTCCAAGCACAGCAGCCAATTTTTTTTTTTAAGAAAACCTTATACTCTGAAGAGGCGTTGCATCATACTATCATATATGGTGGAGATGTGAAAAGATTTGTAAATTTTGGAAAACTATAAAGCAGCTAATAGTAGAGATCACTGAAACACAGCTGAAGTTGGAGCCAGAAGTATACTTGCTTAACATGTTACCAGACGGGATTAAACGCAATGAGTTATGCTTGATATTATATATACTAACTACTTCTAGAATTCTCATAGCGAAGTGTTGGAAATCAGATAAAATACCAGGTAGAGGAGAATTAATTATGAAAATTATGGAAATAAAGGAAATGGATAAAGTGAATATGATATTGTCAGGGACAGACGAAAAGGTTTTTCAAAAAAGATGGCAAAAGATGGGTAGATGGATGGAAAAAAATGTGTAAATGTATACTCCAAAAATGTGTTGTATAAGATTATATCTTTTTATTATTATATTTTTGTTATGAAAAAGATAAATAAACTATATATACACACACACACACACCCCAGAATAGTCGTCGTTTCTAGCTCAACACAATCCAAAGAATAACACACTCCCGTCACTGTCGGTTCTCACCGTGCAGCCTAAAGTTTCTTCGGCCACTGTGTCTGAGAGCTTGCAGGAAGGGAAAGTGCCCGTGTGGTCAGTCAGATCGACAAGTAGGTCAAAGCTGGGGAAGGCCGGTGTGTCTAACGAGGAGGGTAAGCCACTACAGAAAGAACAGTCGTTGGTCGTTTCGTTGACCACGTAGTGGCACCTGGCACTGCAAGAGAGAGAAACAGCGTGGGCATGGCTTCATTCATTTTCAGTTCTTGTTTTGTGGTGCTACGGCCCATCTAGCGGTCTCTTCTAAACCCTCACCTTTGGCCGCTCCTCCTCCTTCCCCTCCCTTGCTCCTTTCCCCTCCTAAGCAGTATTTCCTTCCTATCTATATGAAAATGGGGAGGCCCTTCTGGGCAGCTTCACAATGGCACCCTTGCTGGAAGGAGGAGGAGGAGGAGAAGAAGAGGAGGAGGAGGAGATTGGATTTATACCCTGCCCTTCACTCAGAGTCTCAGAGCGGCTTCCTTTCCTTTCCCCGCAACAGACGCCCTATGGGGCTGAGAGAGCTCTTTTAAGAACTGCCCTTTCAAGGACAGCTCAGACAGAACTATGGCTTGCCCAAGGTCGCACCAGCAGCTGCATGTGGAGGAGTGGGGAATCAAACTGGGTTCTCCCAGATTAGAGTCCGCGCACTTAACCACTACACCAAACTGGCATTTACTTGCCACCTCTACCACATGCCTAGCTCAAAAACACTTCCGTGTCCAGTTTGAGAGACAGTTTGGTGTAATGGTTAAGTGTGCAGACTCTAATCTGGGAGACCCAGGTTTGAATCCCCACTCTTCCACTTGCACCTGCTGATGTGACCTTGGGTCAGTCACAAGCTCTGGCACAGCTGTTCCTGAAAGAGCAGTTTGTGTCAGAGTTCTCTCAGCCCCACCCACCTCACAGGGTGTCTGTTGTGGGGAGGGGAAAGGAGTTTGTAAGCCGCTCTGAGACTCCAAGTGAAGGGCGGGATATAAATCCAATATCTTCTTCTTCTATCCCGTTCCTGGAGCTGAACACCGAGACATAAACAGAGGTCGAAGCCTAGTTTATCTGGGCCTGGTACAGACTTGTAACCCTTCCTCCTGTGACCCCTTCTCATTATACAACCTTACATTTGTTAAAAAAACAACACAAGAACATCATGTTCTCCCTGATGCATTTAATACAAGACATTTCGGTCTTCCATTTGGAGACTGTTCCAAATAAGCAACCCACCCTCCTTTCCTATGGCCATTTGGAAACTCAGTAAATTCCTGCTGTCATTCCAAAGGAAGAAATGGGTTCAAACAGGGAGTAATTCTCTTTAGAGAAGGCCCTTTAGATGCACGTGAGGTGAGGTTACAGCATCTCAGGAAAGGCTTCTATGCAAAAGAGGAAAGCGGTCTGATGATCAGAGGGAGGAGGTCTTTAAAAACTGTTTTCAGCTGACTTGGAACTAGGGTTCCCAAACTCCAGGTGGTAACTGGAAACCTCCCGCTGTTACAACTGATCTCCAGGTGACAGAGATCGGTTCACCTTGAGAAAATGGACACTTTGAAAAGTGGGCTCTAGGGCGTTATACCCAGGCTGAAGCCCCTCCCCTCCCCAAACCCCGCCCTCCACAGTCTCCACCCACAGAATTGTCAGGAATTTCCCAACTTGGAGTTGGTGACCCTACCTGGAACAGGGAAGAGCTTGATTAAGATGCTTACCATCTGTTTCGTATTATTTTAGCTGTTTCGCTATCAATGTTCAGCATGGAAATATAGGCAAAAATAATGCCATAGAAAGGTTCTGGTTTCCCCTCGTTTTGTAAAACTTTCGTCTTTATCTGCTCCACTGTATAAACCTCAGCTATTGCCTGCACTAAAGGAAAAAAAACAACAGAGAGAATTAAAAGACTGTCTAAGACAGGGATGTCAAACATGCGGCCCGGGGGCCGGATCAGGCCCTTGGAGGGCTTCTATCAGGTCCGCAGTGGAACTGGCTGTCTTCTGCTTCTTCTTCCAGTTCTGCTGCTGCTGCGTCATCATAGGTTTGCAGCTTACAGATACACACCTGAGCACCGTACTCAAGATTGTGACAGCACAGACATTTTGATGCAATAATTCAGAGCAAGAGGTGTCAGTTATCAGACACTGTTAAATAAACAAAATATTGCAAGAGTGCTAATTTTTTTTTTTAAAAAAACACAATTTTATTAGGATATAGTAATAAGTAAAATTGTACGTCATATAACAAACTTTTCATATCCTTTTATCCAAATATTTCCCCCCCTTCTGACTTCCTACAGTGCTCAAACCTCTATTACATTCTTAATTTTTTTCTCCTTTTCCAATTCTTTAACAACATAATTCTTTCAGGTAACATATCTTTTTATCTGTTTATCTATGTATGTTTAAATTTAATCTAAATGTCCATCCAACCTTAATAATTGTCAAAGCAAAATAGATTGTTTTTTACATCCCAGTATTTCTCCAAGTAGTCTTTAATCAAGAGTGCTAATGTTTTAAGCATGTTTTAAAGTAAAAAAACCTTTGTGTGTGTGTGTCCTTTATAAAGTTTATATTTCCACTACCTGGCATTACATTTTATGACACACATGGCCCGGCCCAACAAGGTCTCATTTAGGTCAGATCCAGCCCTCATAACAAATGAGTTCGACACCCCTGGTCTAAGAATACCCCCCAAAAAATATAACGATGTGATCTATGGTCTAATATATAGTAAGAAAGACTTCCACTTTCAGTAGACTTTGGGCTTCAATTTTTTAAAAAGTTGAAATGAGAATTTGGGTGGGGGGGACTCTTAAAATAAACAGAAAGCATAGCTTAGTTTCATTTCATAAACCAAGCTAGAACAAACACGTTTATCTTATACATTGCCTTTTGAAACTGGATATATTCAAATATTTGGTCGCAGGATAACTAGAAATATTAATCTTTCTTGATCTGGCGTTGTCTCCCAGACTGAAGTCCAGCTCTCTGCCAGACAAACCACAACGGCTGAATTCAGCATCTCTAATTACAGCGTCTTCTCCCTACCACTTCCTCGGTTATTATTTCCCAGATGTGGTATGCAGCCTTATATTGACTGCACATGAGAACTTTCAAGGCACAAAAATCTGACTCCTGAAGTACCTGGTAAAAGATTTTTATTTTAACCGTTGCATGGGGTCCAAGTGAGTAAACTTTTAAAAAGGGAAAACACAAAAGACCTATAGTTCTTCTTCACCCTATAGGTGGTTGAAGGAACACTTACAGTTTATGGGCTCTCTGAACTGGTCTCCTATTTCATCATCAAGAGCTAACATCTCTGCACTCTCTCTTATGAAGTTGAGAAGAATGTTTGCTTCTGGCGTATCTTGGTGGGGGGAAGACAGTGTTAATAAAGGCAGGCATGTATAACGTCCCAACTAGGTCAACCCCGTAAATTAAGGCTGATGTCTTTAACATTTTTTAAAAGTTTAGATTCTTGTCTATTCGAGTTTGGCAGAAGGAAGCCAAAAAAAAGAGGGGGAACGAGCGTACATGAAATAGTACAAAGCACAAGAAACCGCTGGCTAAAGATAAACAAAAAAATAAAAATAAATATTTAATGTCGAGTTAATACAGTCATATAACTATATAAAGCCAAGGTGTTTTTGCAAGAAACAACAGTAATACAGAAAAATAAAGTCCAAAGAATTTCAATATGTCTCACTCCTGTTGTATAGTAATTCCATAGTCCAACTTGACAGACATTGAACATATCCATATAATCTTGAAATCCATAAGCCATAGACATGCGTAGGCTACAGTGAGTCTTTCTGTGTGTTTATATTATGTATCTACAGGGGTCATTTCGTAGAAAAAGAGCTAGGGGAACTCATTAGCATAGCTCATTAGCATATGCCACACCCCCTGACATCAGGGGCCCGGCGGTGGACCTGCAAGGCCGGCGGGAGGGTGAGGAAGCCCCGCCAAGGCCCTCCCTGGCCCCAGGCAGGCAGGGGTGGGGAGAGGCGGGGAGGAAGCAACTTACCCTCCCTCTTCTCCTGCTTCCTCCTGGCTGAATGAGGGCCGGAAGCGGGGCAGCCAGAAGTGGGGGGCGGGGCTTCGTCGTGTGCCCCGCCCCTGCCCCTCACCGAGGGGAACTGCGATCCCCCGCAACCCCCCCAAATCGACCTTTGTGTATCTATGTAATTTATACACATTGTTTGATCGTTTATCCTCATTCGTGCATGTCTTGAATTTGTATTTAGTCCCACTGTAACCTATTGGTTTTGAAAAAGAACTATTCGAAATGTGGCAGCTCGAATCCGGACTACCCGTCTCTATGGCTTATGGATTTCAACATTATATGGCTTTCCCAGGAACTATATGAGTCCACTCTATGATGAATGTATGTCAAATATAGTTATATGACTGCATTAACTCGGCATTAAATGTTATTTTTATATAATTTTGTTTATCATTAGCCAGCGGTTTCTTGTGCTTTGTATTATTCGAGTTTGCAGCCATCTCGTCCCACCGGCAGTGGCTCCTCCAAGGCCTCAGGAGGAATGGGGTCTTTCTGTGGTTGCCAGCTCTGGGTTTGGAAATACCTGGAGATTTTGGGAGTGGGGCCTGGGGAGGGCAGGATTTGGAGAGGAGAGGAACCTCAGTGGGGGTCTAATGCCACAGAGTCCACCTTCCAAAGCAGCCATTTTCTCCAGGCGAACCGATCTCCATCACCTGGAGATCAGTTGAAATCCCAGCATATCCCCAGCCACCACCTACAAGTTATATCCAAAAGAGAGCTCACGGGAGGAGGTTGTATCAAAACCAGGGCTATTTTTGGGCAGGAACGGAGTTCCGGCTGGCTCCCGAGTTGGCCACGCCCAGCAGGAACCCATTAGCATAATAGGCCACACCCAACAGCAGAAACTCATTAGGATTGGCTACATTAGGGGGGTGTGGCCTAACATGCAAAGGAGTTCCTGCAACAAAAAAAGGCCCTGGGTTTTGACAACAAACAAGGTAAACAGAATAACAAGCAAAAGGTGGATGTGGCTGGATGACCACCCTTCTGGTAACATGGGGGTGCGGCCTAATGTGCTAATGAGCTGTGCTGTCAGGGGTGTGGCCTAATAGGCTAATGAGTTTCTGCTGTTGGGTGTGGCCTATTATGCTAAAGAGTTCCTGCTGGGCTTTTTCTACAAAAAGAGCCCTGCAAAACACAAACACTCCGTGGATAACTTATGAACAGAAGTAGAAAGAATATATTATCCAAGACAATTTTAACAATTCTTAACAGTTCAAATATTTCTCCAATGCAAACACTCGAATAATTTCTTAAAGGGTTAGGATCCAACAGTACTTAATGCAAAAGACAAAATCCAAGTAAAGTTCACTAATTTTCTGTGAAATCAAAAGATAATTTAACAATTCTCCTTAGACCAGTTTTCCAAATCCAGTCACCCCATTAACATGTTGTTCTTTCTGTCGACAATGCTTCTACAATACTTTTGATTTCACAGCTAGAAGAGTATCGGCTATCTGAGGAAGCAGGAAGCGAACGCAGTACTGAAGCTGGCCGTGTGTAGCTGCTACTCCTTTAATGTGGAACCTTTGTTTTCCTGTGGAACTTTCACTTTTTTGAAGCGTCTGCTCTCCTGAAGCGTCTTATACAGAAGATTAGTGAACTTTACTTGAATTTTGTCTTTTGTATTAAGTACTGTTGGATCCTAACCCTTTAAGAAATTATTCGAGTGTTTGCATTGGAGAAATATTTGAACTGTTAAGAATTGTTAAAATTGTCTTGGATAATATATTCTTTCTACTTCTGTTCATAAGTTATTCATGGAGTGTTTGTGTTTTCATACCACCACATACAAGTTGGCAACCCTAGGTGTTTCCCGACATCAGCTACAAAGGTGGGACCGACTGAAGATCCGTGTATACGAAAACATCTATGTATGCTGATCCACCAAGCTGCCTGCTCTAAAGAAATTAAATGTTATAGATGGAGAATTTTTTTTGCTATGAAGTGAAACAAGTAAAACTGGTTTCAGTTAAGACACAAACCACCATTTTCATTAAAAATCTGGTACAGCATTGATTATAGGGCACCAGATGATTATAGAGCACTGAATGACTAAACAAGATTTGGAACAGTCCCTTACCAGGATTAGGCGTAATAATGGTTTTGGAGATTACGGTTGCAACCATGGAGTTCCTAAATTTGTCAAAGTTTATTTTCACATCTGCTGCAAAGATTACTGGGAACGAGAAATATGCATTCTTGTTATTTTAGGGAAAGCTTTTCAGGTTTGTGCTAGCCTCAGCAGAAATGTGCTGTGAGGAAGGTGAAAGAGGATACCTGTTTCTCGAGGCATCCAGCTCTGTGCGTGCTGGATGGATTCATTGTCCCAGCTGGAGAGAAAGCAGGATTCAGTTAATGCAAACGTTATTTATTTAAAATATTAACATTAGAATGGGTTTTATAAGCCTATATAAAATATATACCTTCGTTGCAAAACTTTGGCATTTCCAGCGATGGGTTACATAAAGTAACAGCATTAAAAGGTTGTTTAAAAAAAAAAAAAGATCATACACAATCCTACAAACCACAGAATCAAATCCAGAAAAGGAACATAAGAGAAGCCAATGTTGGATCAGGCCAATGGCCCATCCAGTCCAACACTCTGTCACTCTAACATCTAACACTCGACGCTTACAAGGAAGAAATAGATATGTTTTCATAGAATCATAGAGTTGGAAGGGACCTCCAGGGTCATCCATTCCAACGCCATGCACAATGCAGGGATTTCACAAATAACTCCCCCTCCACACCCACAGTGACCACTGTTCCATGCCCAGAAGATGACAAAAAACTTCCAGGGTCCCTGGCCAAACCGGCCTGGAGAAAAATTGCTTCCTGACCCCAAAGTGGCAATCAGCATTTCTCTGGGCATGTAAGAAAGGGCAACAAGAACTAAGCACTAATGCAACCCTTCCTGCCCTCCCTTCTCACGATCTGCCTAAGTTTTTGCTTGCCTCCTCAAAGCAAACAGGGCAAGCAACTTCAAGTCACCCTAGAAAAGGAATTCCAGAGAACATGAACTGTGAAGGCCCTAGATTATGCCTCAACCGATGGCCCTCTATGATGGGGGGGGCCCCCACTGGGAGCGAAGCATCCCCCGATTACCTTCTTGGGTAAAAAGGTATCATACGGGGAGAGGCATTCCCCAGTGTGTGCAGGACAAATCAACCGAAGGATCAGATGAGCACATGCATTCATACAAAAGGCTGATAGATCTATGATAATCTATGGACGGGACGGGCAGCATGTCGCTCTGGAACATGCAAGATCACCTACGGCCAGACTGACTTAAACAGCATCTTATTTCCTCATCTCCATGATGACCTTTCATAATTGATCTGTGGCTCTGTTTCCCTCTGCTTCTCCTGAGGGAAGCGTTTGTCAATAACTCAGAGAAACAGGCAATGCGTTTGAGGCCCTTCTATCGGACAGCCTAGTGTGTAATATAGCTTAATGGATATCACGGCCATCTAATGAGCGCCGCTGTGTCCTCACAAAGCCTGCTCGGTTAATAAGGGGCTTCGATTAATTACAGCGATAAGTACTTACACGGGGTGCAGCGCCACATCTGGGAAGCATAGAGCTCCCGTGGCGAACTCGAGGCTTCCCGCCGAAGATGCGGGGTAAAAAACTAGTACCTTGGAGGTACTAGTTTCCGGAAACCGCGGGGCAAGGGCGGGCACCTGTTCGCGTTTCCGGTGGAATCCCGTAGCATCCGGCGCCTGCCCATGTCCCGTCGCAAAGAAGGTGTTTTTTTTTTAAAGTCTCCACAGGATGCGCACAAGCACCCAACGGCGCAAGTGCAAACTTGGGATTAAAAAAAAAAAACCGTTTGCCACGGCAGCGCCGCTTCTTTGCCACGCCGTCTAATCAGCACCTCCCCGGGCGCCCCCCCCAACCACCGGACGTCGGTGGGACGTGTGATCCCGCGGCCGCGCGGTAGTTCGCTCCAGGGCAAACAGCCACGCCTCCCCCCCCCGCGATATTTGGCCCGTGTGACCGGGGCCTGTGTAGATTTGAACAGTGGTTTAGAAGACGGCTTACCATATCATCAGAAAGGAAGACTGTGTTTCATCAAACAGCCGCACTTCGCACCTGTGACCTCTTCGTCTGTCTGAAGTGGTGAAATACTTTGGCTCGCCAACCTTTAGTCAAGTGAGGGGGGGAAACCTGAATTTGCACTTAATCTTGTATTCACCTTGCTTTGTAAATAGCAACAGTCGGCTTCTGCATTTATTGGGGCAGGACAAAAATCCTACTGTTTAAATCATGATAACTTCAGAAAAATTCAGCAGGGATAGTTGTAATTATTGGAGTTCGTCCTACAGGAGGGGGAGAGCTAAAGACAGTGTTCTGAAATAACAGAAGGGCACTGCTGCAAAAGAAGTGGAGACAGAGTACTGTAAGATTTAATTCCCTCTGACTTGTGTGTGTGTGTCTGTGTGTGAGTGTGTGCGATGTCAAGTCACAGCTGACTTATGGCAACCCTGTAAAGTTTTCAAGGCAAGAGACGTTCAGAGGTGGTTGGCCAATGCCTGCCTCCGCATAGCAACCCTGGTATTCCTTGGAGGTCGCCCATCCAAATACAAGCCAGGACCAACCCTGCTTAGCCTCCAAGACCTCACGAGATCGGGCTAGTCTGACTAGCCTGGTCAGGGCTTCCCTTTGCACAGAAGCCTTTTTAAAAATGCCTAAATTTCTAAGGTTGGAAATGTTTTGTCAAAGGCTTTCATGGCCGGAGTTCATTAGCTGTTGTAGATTCCCGGGCTGTATGGCCGTGGTCTTGGCATTGTAGGACCTGACGTTTCGCCGGTAGCTGTGACTGGCATCCTCAGAGGTATAACACAGAAAGACGGAGTATTCTCCGTGTCAAGGTGAGAAGAAAAATGGTAGGCAGGTAATTTCTATCTCCTCAGGAAGGTGGGGATGGAGTACTCTCTGTGTCAAGGTGAGAAGAAAAATGGTAGGCAGATAATTTATAACTACTCAGGAAGGTGGGGATAGAGTACTCTCTGTGTCAAGGTGAGAAGAAAAATGGCAGGCAGGTAATTTATATCTACTCAGAAAGGTGGGGTAGGGGATGATGCCCTACCCCACCTTCCTAAGTAGATATAAATTACCTGCCTACCATTTTTCTTCTCACCTTGACACAGAGAGTACTCTGTCTTTCTTTGTTATACCTCTGAGGATGCCAGTCAGAGCTACCAGCGAAACGTCAGGTCCTACAATGCCAGACAACCCGGAAAATCTACAACAGCTAATGTTGGAAATATTTGTTTCCTGCCCTGTTTTGTTGTTTTTGTACGTATATTGTGGCTTGGTTGCGATAGTTTTAATTCTGTGTTTTTGTTTGGTTCTTAAATGTTTCTTATTATGTATGTGTTAGTCTGTTAGCCACCTTTGTGGCCCTGCTGAGCTCACAAAGGCAGGGGTATAAACTTTGTAAATAAAATGAATAATATGTTACGAGGAAATGTGTTTCCTCATAAGTCAAATGTGGGAGAGGGCCTGTTAATTGTTTGACGTTCCAGATACGATGTCCCCTGTCTCAGACCTCCAGACTTCATGGCAAGAGACGCTAGATAGCTAGAGAGGCATACTGACCTTTCTTCCTGCCTTCACTTTTCTGCCACTGTCCCTTCTGAAATGCAGACTGTGTTCCCAGGGACTTTTCCCCTTCCTTCCGTTCTCTGTTACTCAGATAAAGATGATCTCTCTCCCTGCACATACCAAGAGAGAGACATGTGGTCCTCTCTTGGCACCAGGAGGCAGATGGGCCTCTTACCATCTGCTTCCATCCTTTAGCTAGTAAGTTAGTGCTCTGTCCTGTCCCTACTCTTTCCTGTCCAAAGTGAACTTCTCAAATAAAGAGAGGAGTATTTCTCTTCTAAACCTGCAATGTGGCTCTGTGTGGCTTTGTAAGCTGAGAGTAAACTGGTAAAGTGATGCTCCTGCGTTTGCAGTTTGCAGCTTTATTTAAGCACTCTGCTAACGAGTGGTGACTGGACGAACCACACCAGTTAACCCTAATGTTAAATTTCCTGCATGGGAGAATTAACAGGAAGGAGAGGTTGCCCCTTCCTGCACCCTGCATTTGTGTCACCTCAGCAGACACAGGTTTATTTATTTATTTATTTTTATTTAACTTGCGATTTCTAGACCGCTCAACCCCGAAGGCTCTGAGCGGTTTACATGATTAATTTTACTTCCTATCTAGGGCCACAATATTCAGGGGAGGTGACTGCCTACCGGCACCCCAGACAGCAGGGTTTGTTCTTGCTTTTTCCCTTTCTCGGCTTTTTCTTCCGCTTTTCCTGATGGCGTTTTTCTTAGTGCAGGCCCCATCGCAGCGACTCCTCTAGGTGAGATCTTTTGCGGTGCGCGGCTTGTGTGACGACCGCAGTTCCGGCACATGTCCTGTTGGCTCTGCCGGACCGCGTCGTCACGTCACCGCGCCTTCCCGTCCTATCTCCGCCCGAATTCCGCGCCGCTTGCCGCCTGGATGTTCACTGCGCTCACTGGTCACCGGACACCGCACGTTGCCACCACTCGTCGCCGCCACTCGCACCACTTTGCGGCCGCTCCTGCTGCACCCACTCCATAGGGAGGGAGGGTGCCCCCTGCTACCTAGAGCAGGTACCCATTTATCTACTTGCAAAGCTTTCGAACCGCTGGGTGGGCGGGAGCTGGGACAAGGGCCGGGAGAACACGCATTTGTAAAGATGGATAGCCCAGGCTAGCCCGGTCTTCTCTTGCCATGAAATCCCTAAGGGATCACCATAAGTCAGCTGTGACTTTCCACCACCAATATCGTTCAGCCCTCAAATAGCCTTAGCTGGGTGAGTACGGGGAGTGCGCTAGCGAGGTGATACCAAGGGACACCTTACAACATGGTCTCATGACAATCACACAACAAGATTAACTATAGCTGTTGCCACAGCTTGTACTGCAGTTTTGCCTAGCTCTCGTTCATTTCAATGGCACCGGTGGAGGGGGACTTCCTGGGGGTAAAGGGGTTATGTTGGAAAGAGAGAAGAAGAAGAAGAAGAGGACAAAGGTAAGATTCTGCCAGGAGCACGTGTTTAACCCATAAACCAATATAGAATTAATGTGTAACCACGTACTTAAAAATTAAGCTATGTGTGTAACTCAAAGGACTATGAACAAGACTTCTCATGCTGCAGTGCCGTGCCGGGGCCCCGGCCGAGATACATGGACACCCGTGTGGAATCTTGACTATGAGTGTAAGAAAAAAAAAACCCTTGAATGTCCCTCGTTAACCTTCCTTAGCACTAAAAAGTCAAGCAAAGGTAAAAGAAGATCACTCCAGTCATTTGTGACCTGACAAATCCTTATGTGTGCAAAAATCTATTAGATACCGGTAGTTGGGCTTCAGAAGACAGTCCCAGAGGACAGCCGTGTTAGTCTCCTGTAGAACAGAGAGAACTTTGACTTTTGAACTCTTGTACCCTGAAAATCTTGTCAGCCTCTAATGTGCTACTCAGGGCTCTTTTTGTAGAAAAAGCCCAGCATTAACTCATTAGCATAATAGGCCACACCCAACAGCAGGAACTCATTAGCATTTTGGGCTACACCCCTGACAGCACAGCTCATTAGCACATTAGGCCGCACCCCCATGTTACCAGAAGTGTGGTCATCCAGCCACACCCACCTTTTGCTTCTTATTCTGTTTACCTTGTTTGTTGTCAAAACCCAGGGCCTTTTTTTGTAGCAGGGACTCCTTTGCATGTTAGGCCACACACCCCTAATGTAGCCAATCCTAATGAGCTTCTGCTGTTGGGTGTGGCCTGTTATGCTAATGAGATCCTGCTGGGCGTGGCCAACTCGGGAGCCAGCCGGAACTCCGTTCCTGTGCGTTCCTGCCCAAAAATAGCCCTGGTGCTACTGGAATCTAGCTGAATCTAGCTCAGGCTTCAGAAGGACACTGCTAAACGTGTTACAGGTTTTGCCGACTTACCGACTTCACGGCAGCAAGGACGTTAATGATTTTCCCCTCCAAGCTCTGTCCGTTGGCCACAATGTCCCCCAGTGAGTAAAAATCCTGAGGGTCCTTCACGGGCACATGCAACAGCGACAGCAGCTCGGGGTCCACCTCACAGCGAGAGCAGATTTTGACCACGGAATGAATCTCGCTGAGCAGTAGCTTGTAGCAGCTGACATGCACACAAATACGATATTTTTACCCATCGTTACGCCAAAGATAATTCATATGAACTCTCTAAATTATTGCAGCTTATTGTTATGCTAATGCTGGGGGGGGGGTCTGCAGGGAATCCAAATTCACTTATCTCTAGGAAGCACTGTGCCGCTTCAGGTGCAGAACTACCCAGCTAGCTCAGATTTTAACAGATAATTGCCATCCACAAGAATCTCTAGAGGAAGCAAAATGCAAGGCTACGTTCTCGGCTCGTCCCAGGAACATAATTGCTTCTCAGATTCATCCGTATAATGCCACATGAACGGCCAGGGGTCGTTTCGTAGAAAAAGAGCTAGGGGCACTCATTAGCATAACTCATTAGCATATGCCACACGCCCTGACATCACCGGAAGTGTGTCATAAGGCCACACCCCCCGCCCCCAACGGTCCCGGCTGCCGCCGCCGGCCTTGCAGCTCCACTGCCGAGCCCCATGAGGGGCATGGCGGTGGACCTGCAAGGCCGGCGGGAGTGCGAGGAAGCCCCGCGAAGGCCCTCCCTGGCCCCAGGCAGGCAGGGGTGGGGAGAGGCAGGGAGGAGGCAACTTACCCTCCCTCTTCTCCTGCCTCCTCCTGGCTGAATGAGGACCGGAAGCGGGGCGGCTGGAAGCAGGGGGCGGGGCTTTGTCATGTGCCCTGCCCCCCATCCCTCACCCGGGGGAACTGCGATCCCCCGCGATCCCCCCCAAAATGACCTCTGTGAACGGCCCTGTACATGAAACTCAGTTATTGGGGGCATATGTAAAATTAGCAAGAATGACAGGCGATAGGCCAATGACTTCAAAGACACGAGGAATTCTTTGCTCAGATAACCTGCCTTCTAGTGTCGGCTCCAGCAATGTACATGCTCACATAAACACGACAGTTGAGAATTTTGGTCACAGTGACCCCATGTAAATTTTGGGAGATAAGGATCACAGCCTACCAAGCAATCATATTGTGGCGACCTCTGTTTATCTGCGTGTACCAGAGAAATGCATAAAAGCAGGCATTAGTCTGGTGTAGTGGTTAGGTGTGCGGACTCTAATCTGGGAGAACCGGGTTTGATTCCCCACTCCTCCACTTGCACCTGCTGGATGACCTTGGGCAAGCCGTAGTTCTGGCACAGCTGTTCTTGAAAAAAGAGCAGCGACTAACAGCACGGCTTCTAGGAGGCCACCCATTACCCTGAGACTTGAAGAAAAAGAAGAAGAGATTGGATTTATACCCCGCCCTTCACTCGGAGTCTCAGAGCGGCTTACAAACTCCTTTCCCTTCCCCTCCCCACAACAGACACCCTGGGAGGTGGGTGGGGCTGAGAGAACTCTGACACAAACGGCTCTTTTTCAAGGACAGCTGTGCCAGAGCTTGTGACTGACCCAAGGTCACATCAGCAGGTGCAAGCGGAGGAGTGGGGAATCTCGGCGTCTCAGAGCGGCTTACAAACTCCTTTCCCTTCCCCTCCCCACAACAGACACCCTGTGAGGTGGGTGGGGCTGCGAGAGCTCTGACACAAACTGCTCTTTTTCAAGGACAGCTGTGCCAGAGCTTGTGACTGACCCAAGGTCACATCAGCAGGTGCAAGCGGAGGAGTGGGGAATCTCGGAGTCTCAGAGCGGCTTACAAACTCCTTTCCCTTCCCCTCCCCACAACAGACACCCTGTGAGGTGGGTGGGGCTGAGAGAGCTCTTGACACAAACGGCTCTTTTTCAAGGACAGCTGTGCCAGAGCTTGTGACTGACCCAAGGTCACATCAACAGGTGCAAGCGGAGGAGTGGGGATTCAAACCCGGTTCTCCCAGATTAGAGTCCACACACTTAACCACTACACCAAACTGGCTAGTGGTCCCTGCCAGTCAGTGTGGTTCTCTTGTCGGGAAAGGAGGCTGTAAGATCAAGGAGACCAGAGAGAGCACAGGGGCACAGGTCCAGGTAGCAGGAGACACGTTGCCCAACTCTACTGAGAGAGCAATCACCGTTGCTGCGACTCCACAGTCCATCACTGAAGGCGTCAAAACAGATCTGTGTGGCCATGCTGGAGTCTCCCCCTAAAGGTGTCGCCATCCCTTACAGGCCCAAGCCGTCCAGTTCTCCTGTCACCTCTGCAGGCGGTCAGGACAGGTACAGCAGCAGCAGTGCAAGCTACCCCCACACCGCCCCATCAATGTGCCTCGACTCTGACGTGGAGGGACCACCTCAAGAGCTGACCAAGCTGCACCAGTTGGCAATGCAACAAGTCACACTTTCCAGTGTCTCGTGGCAACACTGGATTCAGTGGCATTGAATCCAGCTCTCCAGATGGGAAAAGCTATTGGGGTTCGGATGCCTCAGCTCAGACTACTTCTCATGGATTCCACCATTCCAAATGATCTGATTGGCTGTATCACTGGGCGTCAGGGCGCCAAGGCCAATGAGATTCGCCAGACGTCTGGGGCGCAGATCGAAATTGCCAATCCGGAGGAAGGCTCTGCTGACCGGCAGCCTACTCCCCCGCCCACATCAAAGATGTTCCACCCATTCGACCGCCTTCTGCCATCCCTTCTCCTTCATGGCTGTACAACCATTTTCATAAAAAAAAAAAAATAGCGGTACACTGGGGTCTTTTGGGGCCGGAGCACGCTGGAGCACCACTCCGGCAGCCCAGGAGCCAGCGCAAATGGCAGCGGCGGCAATCCCCATCCCCAGCTCCCCGCGCTGCAGCGCTGGGGCTGGGGGGAGGCGCGGAGAGCCCCGCAGCCGAGTCCCCTGGGCCCGCGCAGAAGCACTGGGGCCAGGGGGAGACCTGGAGAGCCCCGCCGCCGGTTTCCCTGACCCGCGCCCAAGCAGTAAGTAAGGGATCCACGGGGGTGGGGTGGCAA